TTTTTTTTTTTTATAATTATTAAAAATAAAATATAAAGAAAAAAAAAAAAAAATGGACAGCCCAGAATTTCTTAAAATTGAACTTCAAAGATTAAAAAGTGATTACGAAACTGTAAGAATATAAAAAATGAAATTTCTAAAATTTTAAGTTTTTAATTTTTTGATTTTTATATATATATATATTGGAAGAATAAAATAATATTTAAATATTTTTAGAGTAATGATAACTTTGTAAGAATACTTTTTTTTTTTTTTTTTTTTTTTTTTAATAATCTTATTTCTTTTAAATTAGTATATAAAAGAAATTATTATTTTATTCAAGCTAAAAGTTATAACATAAATTATATTTGCATTTATCTTAAAATATTCATACTATTATATTATTTTAAAATTATTTTATTTAAATTATACAATACATATACTTTTATTTCATATATATATATATATATATATAATTATATATATATAATTATATATATATTTATTTATTTATTTATATTTTTTATTTAATATGTATATAGGAATTATCAATTGATCATGTAATGCCAAAAACTCAGTTTGACTATGCTTGTTTATTAATATGTTCATCAGATACAAAAAATATAAAGTTTGCTTCATCTTTATTACATGAATTATTACTTATAAATTATAATCGTATTGATTGTTTATATCAATTAGCTATAGCTCATATAAAATTAAGAGATTATAAAAAAGCAAAAAACTATTTAAATGCTTTATTAAAAATAGATGCTAGAAATAGTAATGCACTAGCTTTAAAAAGTTTACTTTTTGATTTAATATCGTCAGATGGACTTATAGGTGCATTATTGGTTGCACTTACAATGTGTGGTATATATTTATCTTTTAAATCTTTTAAATATTTTTAATTTTTTTTAAAGTTATATTTTTTTTTTTTTTTTTTTTAAAATTAATTCATAAACAAATTTATAAATATATATATATATATATATATATTAAAATAATTTGTAAAAAAAAAAAAAAAAAAGTTAACTATATATTCCCATTTATTTTTTTAACTCTATATATCTAAATGATTATTACAAGTATCTAGAAATAAAAAAACAAACAACCAATTTATATAAAATAATCTATGATTCATTGATTTCTTAGAATATTTCGTTGCATTATAAATATGCAATGGTGTATGCTGATTACATATTAATTTATCCTGTTTAAAAAAAAAAAAAAAAAAAAAAATAATATACATATAACAAATAATTATTAAATTTATAATAATTTTATTAAACATATTTTTATTCTATTATTATAATAAAATCTAAAAACAAAGTAAAGCATTAAAGGTTAATATATAAAAAAATTGAAGATATAAAAAAGAATTTTACATATGTTAAGAATAATTACAATAAAAATAAAAAAAAAAAAAATTAATAAAATAAAAAAAAGGTTATGAATGTATAAACATATATATATATATATATATATATATATATATATATATATATATATATAAAAGGAATAAGAGATATTACTTGTATGCGGAGAAAATTTTTCTTAAGAATTCCTCTTTTCTATAAAAAAATAATATATATATAAATATAAATTACTATTAACATTTATACTAATAATTAAAAGTAAATTCACAAATATATTAATAAAACAATTAAAGTAGTAAATAATAATATCTATAATATAATAACATTTATAACTTTTATCTTTTCACCTTAAGGGAATAAAGATATGGAGATGAATTAAAAATAAGTTTAAACATTTTCAAAAGTATATATAAAAAAAAAAAAAAAAAAAAGTTCTTACATTTATTTTATTTAATAAATTTTTTAAATCTCTTTATTCGAAAATATAAGAATATTTTTTGTGTTTTTTATAAATAAAAATAAAATGAGTTATGTGTATATATATATATTTCTATAATTCTGTTTATATTTTAATTTTTTTTATTTTTATTGTGTAAATATTTTTTTTTATTTTTATTTTTACATTTATTTTTATTATTATATTTACATTTATTTTTATTATTATATTTACATTTATTTTTATTATTATTATTACATTTATTTTTATTATTATTATTTTTTTTTTTTTTTTTTATGTTTATTTTTACTTGATTTTTATTTCAATTATATATCAATTCTTATTTTAATTTGAAGATACAATTTTATAAAATAAAAACTTAAACTAAAAAAAATAAACTTTATATTTGATCAAATAAATATCTCATAAAATAAAGATAATAAATAAATAAAAATATTAATATACAATTTATATAGTAAGAAAATTTGAAAAATTAAAATTTTTTAGATTTTTTTTTTTTTTTTTCTCAAAAGATTTTTATATAACACTTGAAAAAATAACATGTGTTGTTATAATTAAAAAAATACTTATAATCATACATATCAAAATGAAACATATATAATTACCTATAATATGAAAGAAATAGAAAAAATAAAAAAATTTATTGATATAAATATTTCTTATTTATTATTTTTAAATGGATGATTAGAAAAACTGAGAAAAATGAAAAAATATTGAGAAAATTTTAAAATAAATATAATTTACACCTATCTATTATTAATAATGAATCTAGGTAAGCCTTAAGAAAGGTGTAAAAATTAGATAATATTTTGTAAATTCTAAATTTAAAAAAAAAAAAAAAAAAAAAA